GGGAAAGGCGGCCTCTACATCGGGAAGGCAGTACTGAAAAATAACGTCTTCGTCCTCGACTTCGTTCCAGATCTCGGCACCGCCGACAGCGACGGAATCGTCACCTTCACCTCCTGGACACATCCACTGGATCTCGACCCCAACTTCAGTCCCGAAGGCTTCTGGTATTCGCACACCATCCCTAACACAGAACGAACAAGAGCATTAGCGACGATTCAACATTGGACAGCAACAGAGACAACATCGGCAGCAGCAGAGACAACATCGGCAACAGCAGAAACAACTTCGACAGCAGCAGAGACAACATCGGCAGCAGCAGAGACAACATCGGCAGCAGCAGAAACAACATCAGCAGTAGCAGAAACAACGGTAGCAGTAGCAGCAACGTCAACACCATTTGCTGGTCCCTCAACGGCACCGACCTTCATCGACAACACACCACCAACTCCCGCGCAGCAGCTACATCCGACTCAACAAGAAGCCCATCGAAGCACCAACTTCACCGCCAACTTCTACTCCAACTCCGACATGTATCGGCGCTCACACAGACATCGCGGCAGCGAAGAAATCTGGCAAGCACGAATGGGACATCCAAGCAATACGATGTTAAATAACACAATCAGAGCGAGAGTGCTCAACAAAGACTCACTACTCCTACACGACGGGAGAGAACTTCATCGAGTCCGAGGGACGTGCTTTACCTGCCCTGAAGCCGACTTACCGCATCAGCCGTTCGTCTCTCACCACAACCCGAGCGCACCAGCTTACGCACCGCTCGAGAAAGTGTACAGCGACATCCTGTACAATCGCGTACCAGGACAAGGAGCCTACAACTACACCATCACATTCATCGACGCCGCCACACGATACGTCTGGCACCTGAACCTTCCGAGCCGCGACATGGCCTTCGAAGCCTTCGTCGCCTGGCTTCCAGTAGCAGAACGGGAATGGGGAGAAGCTAAAGAGCTTCCAGTCAGAAAGAGGAGGAGAATATACCTCACAACGATTCAAGGACTACCTGGCAGAACGAGGCATCAAACGCCTCATCTCCCTCCCTTACGCTCATCAACAGCAGGGGTGTGGCAGAAAGGATGAACATGACTCTCCAGAACACCATGCACAAGCTACTACGTGGCATGCGGCTACCCAACCACCAGTGGCCCGAAGCAATGGACCATGCCGTGATGCTGCACAACTTGCTTTCGTCATCATCGCTCCCGAACAACGCATCACCGCATCTGCTATGGACAGGAAAATTGGGCAGCACAAAAATGTTACGAGTTTTCGGCTGCATGGTACAGTACCGACCCCCATCTGCACGAGCCGGCCGATTCTCCCAACGCGCACAGTGGGGACTACACCTGGGCATGGAAGATTTTTGACCTCCACACAAAGGAAACAGTGGCAGCACGTGATGTCATTTTCTACGAACGACTCACCCTCGACTCCTACCAAGCCAACTTGGCAGAACAACGGGACCTCACCAGTGGATTTCGTGGAGACCGAGCCTTCGCTTCGGCAGAAGATGAAGCTGACTGGGACGAGCAGAATGTGGACAGAGCCTCGGAAGAAGCCGGACCACTCCCATACTGCTGGGTGGATGTACCGATGGATGACGACAATCCTCGCGAAAGCGTCAACGCCGAAGTCTTCTACAATCTTGCCGATGAGGGTTACGTTACTCCCAAAAGAGTTAACATCAACGAAGCATAACGCGTAGGGCCTAACTTCACACCTGATCCAAAAGCGGGAGACGAAGCAGTCTATCCCGAGGATACGACACTCCCCCGCTACACACAAAGTGGCCTCCAGATATTCGGCCTCGTCACCGCGGTTCACGGCACGGCGATTCCTAAGGAGCCTGCCACAGTTCAGCAGGCTCTGGGGGGGGGAAAATAGGGAAAAATGGCGCGGAGCCATGGACAGGAAGCTGAAAGCACAGGAAGAACGCAACACTTGGAAGGTCGTTCCCATCGGAGTGGCATGGAACAAGACGATTCTTACCGGAAAATGGGTCTTCCGTGAGAAAACTAAAGCAGACGGCACCATCTACATGTTTAAGGCACGCTGGGTCGTACGCGGCTTCGACCAAGAACACGGACATGACTTCACCGAGACATTCGCTCGGGTCAGCCGATACACTTCGCTGCGAATTCTTATGAAGAAGAAGAAGCAACGGCAAATCGACGTCGCCAACGCCTTTCTCTACGCACCTATCGACGCAGAGATCTTCGTCGAATTACCGCACGGCTCAAATGGAGAGCCCAACCAAGTCTGTCAACTGCTGAAGTCCCTGTACGGCATCAAACAGGCCCCGAGACTGTGGCAGCAGTACCTGCACGCTAGACTCATCCGCATCGGATTCCGCCGGCTACCACACGACCAGGGCATGTACCGGCTTACAGAGGGCACCGACTACATCTTGCTGATCGTCTACCTAGACGATCTGCTCTACAGCGGTTCGACTGACGGCGTCACTACCTGGTTCGAAGGGGAGGTTCAGGAGGATCTCACCCTCACAGTATCGTCAACCGTCACGGAATATCTCGGCCTCAACATTCAAGAAGAAGAAGACGCTTCCCACCTCAGCGCCGCGAAATACGCCGACACCATCGCCAAACGCTTCGGACTCACCCCGACCATCATCTCTACGCCATTCCGCTACACTGCAGGAAACCACAAGGAAGGCTCCGCTCCGCTCAAGCCCGCCGGCATACGCGACTACCAGAGAAAGCTGGGATGCCTCCTCTTTGCAGCCGTCACCTGCCGTCCGGATCTATCGTACTCTGCAAGTCAACTCGCCACCTACCTCAAGAAACCTGAAGCGGAACACATGGCGGAGCTCGACCGCGCTCTCCACTACCTCGTCAGCACCCCTACCGTCGGCCTAATCTACCACAAGAACGGGACCACAACGCCCAAGCTAATCGGCTATATCGACGCCGATCACGCCGACGACTCCGACAACAGGCGCTCACGCACCGGCTACATCTATCGCTTCGAGCCTATCGGACCTATCTCCTGGCAGTCGAGCAAGTTGGAATTAATCGCCCTCTCTGCAGCTGAAGCAGAATATATCGCACTCTGCTCAGCCACCAAGGAAGGACTGTACCTTCGCGAACCCCTAGAGGAAGCGAAGCTGGCTCAGTTACCCAGCTTCTCCCTGTTCTGCGACAACCAGTCAGCAATTCGCATAGCCAACAAGAATGGCTTCGCGAATAGGACGAAATGCATCGCCCTGCGATACTTCTTCGTGAAAGACGAGATCGAGAAGGGGAGACTCGAACTGTCATACTGCCCCACGTCCGAGATGGCAGCTGACTACTTGACCAAGAAGCTCGGAAAACAGAAGTTCGAGTACTGCATGCTGCTGACTGGACAGGGCCACGTCACCAGCAGCGACACTCCAGAAGCGAAGGGGAGTGTTGGAAACAATTGATTTAAAGCGCTTCTGTCGTGGCGAAACACTAAGTCGTAGATGAAGCAAAACGCAGCGAAGCATCAGCGAGTCAACCCTCGGAGGTTTAGCAACAGCTGGAGGTCACGCGAAAGTCAAAGGTCAGCGACCTTTGACCTGACAAGTACAGCGCGACAGCAAGGACAAACAGCTGACTCGTTACTGAGCAGTTGCTGTCAAACATTGCATGTTTATGTTGTGTAGGCTGTAGTGGGTTACACCTTAGGGGGTACACAAACTTAGGGTTTCCTACTTGTACCAAACTTTCTGCTAGTTCATTCATTCCTGCTTCAGTTATTCTGACATGGTTTCAGAGCAGGTCCTTCGCTAGGACCTAATTTTTCTTCGGGCCCACCACTACTGACTGTCTACTAGCGCCCTCGTGCGCCCTACTGTCGGAGCGCGCCTTAGCGCCTCCCCCCAGCGCCCTCGCGCGCTTCTCTTTTTTTTTTCGGCCCCGCTGGCCTCGTCGACCGCGCGCGCGCCCCGCTTAGAGGCCCCGCTGGCCCCGTCGACAGCGCGCGCACCCTGCTTAGAGGCCCCGCTGGCCCCGTCGACCCCGCTCACGCCCCGCCTAGAGGCCCCGCCGGCCCCGTCGACCCCGCTCGCGACTCGCCTAGAGGCCCCGCCGGCCCCGTCGACCCCGCGCGCGCCCCGCCTAGAGGCCCCGCCGGCCCCGTCGACCCCGCTCGCGACCCGCCTAGAGACCCCGCCGGCCCCGTCGACCCCGCGCGCGCCCCGCTTAGAGGCCCCGCCAGCCCCGTCGACCCCGCTCGCGACCCGCCTAGAGGCCCCGCCGGCCCCGTCGACCCCGCTGGCGCCCCGCCTAGAGGCCCCGCCGGCCCCGTCGACCCCGCTCGCGACCCGCCTAGAGGCCCCGCCGGCCCCGTCGACCTAGCGTGCGCCCCGCCTAGAGGCCCTAGCGGCCCCGTCGACCCCGCGCGCTGCCCCTCTCTAGCCCCGTCGACCCAGCGCGCCGCCCCTTAGCGGCCCCGTCGATCCTACCTGCCACCCCTTAACGCCCCGCACGCGAAAGCCACGGCCCTGCTAGGAACGAGCCGCCCTACCTGAGTCGCGCTGCCTACTGCTTTTAGGGTGCACCTACTGCTACTACTGCTGCTACTATGGCTAGTCCTCCTGTACTTGCTTTCGATGCTGAGGGCCGCCCAGTGAAATTTGACACCTGGCTAGATGACCTGCACCTGCCAAGGAGGACGTCTCACTGTACGATCATGCCCTCGGCCATGCTACTGCCCCTCCTACTACTGCTGACAGCACTGCCCGCTCACAGTGGCAGACTCGTGACGCCCACGCTCGCTTTGCTATTCGCAACTCCCTGCCGATAGATGAGCGCGAGCACTTTGGCCAGCACAAGACTGCTAAGGAACTGTACACTGCTGTCGTTGCTCGCTACTCCTCACCTGCTTCTGCCGCACTAGGCCGCCTCTCACTCCCCTACCTGTTCCCCGACCTGGCCTCCTTTCACACAGTTGCTGACCTCATCACCCACCTCAAGACTAGTGAGGCCCGCTTCCGTGCTGCTATGCCCGATGAGTTCCTTGCTAGGAACCCCCCCCCGCTCTGGCTCACTCTCTACCACATCGTCACCCGCCTCCCTGACTCTCTGCGCGCAGTCAGGGATCACTTCCTAGCTCGCTGCCCCACTGAGCTCACCATTGCCCTCCTCGAGAAGGAACTACTTGCAGCTGAGGCGAGCATCGTCGCTGTAGGTGCCTCTCGTGGCGACCCCCGCACCCCTTTCTTTGAGGGGTGTTCCCCTTCCCCCCTTCTTCCCTCTGTAGCCTCTGCTTCTGCTGTCGACCTCCTTGGTGCTGAGAAGGTCGGGACTGCGTCCGCTCCGAGCGGGCGCCGCAGGAGCAGAGGGGGCAAGGGAGGCGGAGGTGACGGCGGGGGAGGCGGGGGAGGTGGGGGTGAAGGCGGTGGGAGTGGTGGTGGGGCTGGAGGGACGAATGGCAGCGGTGGGGGTGGTGACGGGGGCGGTAGCAGGGGCGGGGGCGGTGGCGGGGGCGGCGGTGGTCGCGGCGGCGGCAGGGGAGCGGGTGGTCGAGGTGGTGGCGGCGGCGGTGGTGGTCGTGGAGGCGCTGGCGGTGGCCAGAGCCAGCAGCACACTCCGTCGCTCCAGGAGGCCCGTGAGTGGTATTCGCAGCGCGGGGGGGCGGGTGGCTTTAGCTGCACGTACGTCATCCGCACTGGTGACCGCACTGGTCAGACGTGTGGGAGGCCGCACCCCACGCAGCGCTGTTTCTCTCGCCTTGACGACGCTTGGCGCACTCAGTTCCCTGATGCCACTGAGCTATCCCGCTGGGCTGATCTGATGAGGAAGGGAGTTGATATCTATGCACTAGACTTTGATGCTATTCTCACTGCCATGTATGTGATGTTTACTAGTGGAGAGGGTGCTCAGTACCTGCGTGTTCCGCCCGACCCGGGCATTCGGACCAGTGAGGCTGCCGCTCTAGGTGCTAGTGAGACTGCCACTCCAGGTACTCGCGTGTCTGCTACCTCAGGTGCTGGTGAGGCTGCTGCTCTAGGTGCTAGTGAGTCTGTGCCCCCTGGTACTGAGTCGACTGCGGCACTGCACACCTTCACACTGGACTCAGGTGCTTCTCGCTGTTTCTTTCGTGACCGCACTGTCCTTGAGCCACTCGCTCGGCCAGTTGCTGTCTCCCTCGCTGACCCCTCTGGGGGTCCGGTCGTTGCGACCTCCTCCACTGTCCTTCCTTGTCCTGCGGTCCCGTCGGGCACACTGTCGGGTCTCCACCTCCCCTCGTTCTCTACGAACTTGGTGGCGGGTTGTGCGCTCCAGGACGGGGGTGTTCACCAGTTCACCCCTGCCTACGAGCGCGTGACGCACTGCACGTGTGCTCGGACGGGCCGTCACCTGGCTACCTTCACTCGGCAGCCGGGGTCGGACCTGTACACACTGACCACTGAGTCCCCTCAGGTAGCTGTGTCTGCGTCTGCGTCAGGTCAGCTGTCGGCCCCCTGCTCGTGTCGCTCTCTGGCGCACGAGACCGTCCTCTGGCACCACCGACTTGGTCACCCGTCTGTGCAGCGCCTTCGTGCCATGCACAAACGGTACCTTGTCTCTGGTCTTCCCAGGGTTCTCCCTCCCCTCCCACCCTCGCCTGCTCCTCCCTGTCTTCCCTGTGTCGAGGGGCGGCAGCGCGCCGCTCCTCACTCCTCCTCGTTTCCCCCGACGACTGCTCCCTTACAGGCGCTCCACATGGACGTGTGGGGCCCAGCCCGCGTCTGTGGACAGGGTCAGGAGAGGTACTTCCTGATTAGTTGACGACTACTCGCGCAACACCACGGTCTTCCCCTTGCGCACCAAGGGTGAGGTCCCTGATGTCTTGATCCCTTGGATCAGCAGAGCTCGTCTCCAGCTCAGCGAGCGTTTCCGCTCGGACTTTCCTGTCCTGCGTTTGCACTCTGACAGAGGTGGTGAGTTCTCCTCCGACCTCCTGGCAGCCTACTGTGCGGAGCACGGCATTGAGCAGTCGTTCACGCTTCCGGCCTCTCCACAGCAGAATGGGGTTGCTGAGCGCCGCATTGGCTTGGTCATGGAGGTCGCTCGTACCTCCTTGATCCATGCGGCTGCCCCCCACTTTCTGTGGTCGTTTGCGGTCCGATACGCTGCGCATCAGCTCAACCTCTGGCCCCGTATCTCCTTGCCGGAGACTTCCCTGACACTACGTTGGACGGGAGAGGTTGGCGATGCGTCGCGTTTTCGGGTCTGGGGATCCCGAGCTTTTGTTCGCGATACGTCCCTTGTGTCTTCCTTGGCTTTGTCCCGGACGCGCCTGGTTGGCAGTTTTACCACGTCACCTCGCGCCGTGTCCTGTCCTCTCAGGACGTCACTTTCGACGAGTCCGTCCCCTACTACCGCCTCTTCCCCTACCGCACTGCCCCGCTCCCCCCCCCGCCGCTCTTCCTCGCTCCAGGTGCTGCTGTGCTAGTCCCTCTCCCCCCTCAGGGTGCCGCTCCCTCAGGTGTGTCCCAGGTAGACCCGGTTGAGCCTGTCGAGGTAGCTGTCGACTCTCGTCCTACTAGGGGTGCTGAGCCTGCGAGTGCGGAGCCTGGGGGTGCTGAGCCTGAGGGTGCGGAGCCTGGGGGTGCGGAGCCTGGGGGTGCGGAGCCTGGGGGTGCGGAGTCTGGGGGTGCTGAGTCTGGGGGTGCTGAGCCTGGAGGTGCTGAGCCTGGGGGTGCTGAGTCTGGGGGTGCTGAGTCTGGAGGTGCTGAGCCTGGGAGTGCTCCACCTGGAGGAGCCCTCTCCTCGCAGCAGCTGCAGGAGAGGTACCTACAGTACTTTAGCCTCAGGAGAGGTACTGGTGCTTCCCCTCCTGGCTAGGAGCTCCCCTCCCTTCAGCGGATCCGAGAGTGGTACACGCGGCGCTGTAGCCTTCGGAGTGGCGCTCCTGGTGTCGCGGACCCTGGAGTTGGCGCTGTGGCTGGTGTTGAGGACCCGGGCGTTGGAGCTGCTACTGGTGCTGGCGACCCTGGAGTTGGCGCTGTGGCTGGTGCTGAGGACCCGGGCGTTGGAGCTGCTACTGGTGCTGCGGACCCTGGAGTTGGCGCTGTGGCTGGTGCTGAGGACACGGGCGTTGGAGCTGCTACAGGTGCTGAGGACCCTGGAGTTGGCGCTGTGGCTGGTGCTGAGGACCCGGGCGTTGGAGCTGCTACTGGTGCTGCGGACCCTGGAGTTGGCGCTGTGGCTGGTGTTGAGGACACGGGCGTTGGGCCTGCTGCTGGTGCTGCGGACCCTGGAGTTGGCGCTGTGGCTGGTGTTGAGGACACGAGCGTTGGAGCTGCTGCTGGTGCTGCGGAGCCTGGAGTTGGAGCTGCTGCTGGTGCTGAGGACCCTGCCGCTGGTGTCTCTGCTGGTTCTGGAGACACTACGCGGCCGCGACCGTACTTCGTGCCGCTCCTTCAGCAGGTTCTTGGTCAGACTCCTCCTCCTTGTCCTTCTCCCTCCTTAGAGTGTCCTCCACCTGTCCAGTCGCAGTCACAGTTACCGCCTGCCTCGCCTCTCCCTGGTCCTTCTCCTTACACTGGTCCCACAGGAGGTCTTACGGAGCGTCGTGAGCCTGAGTCTCGTCCTGTGTCGCCTGCGTCTCGCTCTGCGTCACCTGTTAGTGCTGCTCGCACTGGTCGTCGTGTCCCACGTCAGCGTCCTCCTGCTGTCCCAGGCACTCACCAGATGGTGCTCCGTCGCTCCACTGCTCCCCAGCGTGTCCCTCTGCCGTCTCCTCCTGCGTCCTCTCTTCCTACTCTTCCTGACCCGGAGTCTGACTCCCTTCGGGCTGCCAGTCCCACTGTCACGCGTCTCCTCGCCACTGTTGTCACTGACCCTACCTTTGAGTCCTCTGCTGCGTCTGCTCTGGTCGCTGAGTTGGTTGACTTTGCTGCCAGGTGTCGTCTAGACTACGCCGCTAGCCTTGTTGCTGAGTCTGAGTCTGTCTGTCCTCCGTCCGTCGGGGGTGAGTGTGCTCTTGGCACGGACGTCCTTGAGGACAAACAGGAGGAGTTCCAGTGCTTTGCTGCTGTCGGAATCAAGAGACAGGAATGATTGAACTAATAGTGAAATCAGTACAAGTACCTAACCCTAGAATTGTGTACCCCCTATAGGCTAACCCATTGTAGCCTAAACAACCACAACATATATATAATGTTTGACACACCCCCATAGGCAAAGTGGGGGAGAGCAAGGGGTCACAAGACCAGTCAAAGCAAAGCAAAACAAGCTCAGGGTGGATCTCAAGGATACCACACAAATTCCGAGCACAAGCAAGTGGTCACAAGACCAGTTCACATGCAGGTTGATAATATAGCAAGAGATACAGTGATCACAACCTAGCAAGTGTAAACATGCAGGTATATATATAGAGATCACAGTACAAACAGAGTCAAGAAGTAAGCAAGTGAGGTCCAGCAGGCACAAGGCCCAGAAGAGTACAGAAGCGCTGATGGTCACAAGGCTGAAGCGCCTTGGTGAACACATCAGCAAGGTTGGCCTCTGTGGCCACGTAACGCAGACGAAGCTGACCACGCTGCTGCAGCTCTCGAGCAAGGAAGTACCGCAGGGCGATGTGCTTCGTTCTGTGCTCCAGTCTGTGCTCCTCACACAAGGCAATGGCAGCCTGGTTGTCGACGTACAGCACTGGAGGAGAACGAGGCCGCTCTCCCAAGTCGGTCAGCAGGTAGGTCAGCCAGCGTAGCTCCTGGGCAGCCATGGCTGTGGCGTAGATCTCAGCCTCACAACTGGAGCTGAGAACAGAAGAAGAGCGTGTAGAACGCCAAGAAACTGAGCCGGAGCCAAGGCTGAAGGTGTAACCCTGAGACGACCGCTGAGTAGCCTGGTCGTCCGCCCAAGAAGCGTCTGAGTGTCCAGTAAGTACAACTCGGTCTCGTCCTCCAAGCACTAGCCCCATGCCCGACGTACTGCACAAGTAGCGCAACACCCTCTTAGTGGCATCCATGTGCTCCTTCCTGTGACGGCCAGGAGCGATATAGCGTGCAAGGATGCTAAGAGGGTATGCAAGGTCAGGTCGAGTGCAGGTCATCAGGTACATGAGGCAGCCCACAAGCTCTGGATACGGGCCACTCGGCTCTACGGACTCATCCGAAGGCAGAGCTGAGAGCGAGTGACCGGTAGGCAGAGGAGTGGACTGAGGCGAGGAGTACGTGAAGCGGAAGCGCTGAAGGATCTGCTGCACCATGTGTGATTGAGTCAAGGTGATGGTGCGCCGTGCTCTGTCCCGGGTGATCCGCAAGCCAAGATAGCTTGTCAGTTCACCCAGGTCTGTGCACGTGTGTCTCCTCTGCAGCTCCGACTTCACGTGGGCGAGTCGTCGACGTACACGAGGACGTAGAACGGCGGCAGTGAGGTGTCTGTGCGTAGAAACAGTGACGGGTCAGCAGTAGAGGGAGCAAACCCAAGAGCCGCAAGTGTCGTCCTCAGTGTGTCGTGCCACTCACGTGGTGCCTGGCGGAGACCGTAGACCGGCCGCTGGAGCCTCCACTGGGTACCAGGAGGAACCGACCCAGTGAAGCCAGGAGGGCGGCGCAGCCAGATCTCCTCGTGCAGGCTACCCTGCAAGAAAGCAGTGCTGAAGTCAAGTGAGTGAAGCTCGTAGTCGCGCTGAGCGGCTATGTGCAGCAGCACCCGAAGAGTGGTCATCTTCGGGGTGGGGGAGAAGGTCTGAAAGAAGTCAACTCCCTCTCGCTGACTGAAGCCTCGAGCCACGTAGCGCGCCTTGAAGACAGGAGGAGAACCCGGTGGCCGCTTCACCCTGAAAATCCACATGTCACTGACGATGTTCGCCCCAGGTGGAGGAACCTCGTCGACGTAGGTGCCTGTGGACTTCCAGGAAGCCATCTCTGCGTCCATGGCTGTCTGCCACTGAGAGGAGTAGGGACCCGCCATCGCCTCAGCGTAAGTGCGCGGGGTCGGGATGTCTGGTGCATCCGGGTCTCCCTCAGGGGCAACTAGCATGGACACGAGGTGGGGTAAAGCAGCAGCAAAGCACTGGAACTCCTCCTATCTGTCCTCAAGGACGTCCGTGCCAAGAGCACACTCACCCTCGACGGACGGAGGACAGACAGACTCAGACTCAGACTCAGCAACAAGGCTAGTGGCGTAGTCTAGACGACACCGGGCAGCAAAGTCTATCAACTCAGCGACCAGAGCAGACGCAGCAGAGGACTCAAAGGTAGGGTCAGTGACAACAGTAGCGGGGTGACAGTGGGACTGGCAGCACGACGGGAGTCAGACTCAGGATCAGGAAGAGTAGGCAGAAAGGACGCAGGAGGAGACGGCAGCGGAACACGCTGAGGAGCAGTGGAGGGACGCAGAGTCATGTAGTGAGTGCCAGGGACAGGAGGAGGACGCTCACGTGGGACACGACGACCAGTGCGAGCAGTACGAACAGGCGACGCAGGACGAGACTCAGGCTCACGACGCTCTGTAAGACCTCCTGTGGGACAAGTGTAAGGAGAGGGACCAGGGAGAGGCGAGGCAGGCGGGAACTGTGACTGCGACTGGACAGGCGGAGGACACTCTATGGAGGGAGGAGGACAAGGAGGAGGAGCCTGACCAAGAACCTGCTGAAGAAGTGGTACGAAGTACGGTCGCGGCCGCGCAGCGTCTCCAGAGCCAGCAGAGACACCAGCGCCAGGGTCCTCAGCACCAGCAGCAGCTCCAACGTCCGGGTCCTCAGCACCAGCAGCAGCTCCACCGTCCGGGTCCTCAGCTCCAGCAGTAGCTCCAACGCCCGGGTCCGCAGCACCAGCAGCAGCGCCACCGCTCGGGTCCGCAGCACCAGCAGGAACTCCACCAGCCGGGTCCTCAGCTCCAGCAGTAGCTCCAACGCCAGGGTCCGCAGCACCAGCAGCAGCGCCACCGCTCGGGTCCGCAGCACCAGCAGCAGCTCCAACGCCCGGGTCCTCAGCACCAGCAGCAGCGCCACCGCTCGGGTCCTCAGCACCAGCAGCAGCCCCAACGCCCGGGTCCTCAGCACCAGTAGCAGCGCCACCCCCAGGGTCCGCAGCACCAGGAGCACCACTCCGAAGACTGCAGCGCCGCGTGTACCACTCTCGGATCTGCTGAATGGGGGGGAGCTCCTGGGCAGGAGGGGAAGTACTGGTACGAGCTCCAGTAGCACCTCTCCGGAGGCGGCAGTACTGTAGGTACCTCTCCTGCAGCTGCCGGGAGGAGAGGGCTCCTCCAGGTGTAGCACGCTCAGGCTCAGCACCCCCAGACTCAGCACCCCCAGACTCAGCACCCCCAAGCTCAGCACCCCCAGGCTCAGCACCTCCAGGCTCAGCACCCCCAGACTCAGCACCCCCAGGCTCAGCACCCCCAGGCTCCGCACCTCCAGGCTCAGCACCCCCAGGCTCCGCACCTCCAGACTCAGCACTCCCAGGCTCAGCACCCCCAGACGCAGCACCCCCAGGCTCAGCACCCCTAGCAGGACGAGAGTCGACAGCCACCTCGACAGGCTCACCCGGGTCTACCTGGGACACACCTGAGGGAGCGGCACCCTGAGGGGGGAGGGGGTCTGGTACCTCAGCACCTGGAGCGAGGAAGAGAGGCGGGGGGGGGAGCGGGGCAGTGCGGTAGGGGAAGAGGCGGTAGTAGGGGACGGACTCGTCAAAAGTGACGTCCTGAGAGGCCAGGACACGACGCGAGGTGGCGTGGTAGAACTGCCAACCAGGCGCGTCCGGGACAAAGCCAAGGAAGACACAGGGGATAGCGCGACGGGAGAGCTTGTCTGCGGACGTGTCGCGAACAAAAGCTCGGGATCCCCAGACCCAAAAACGCGACGCATCGCCAGCCTCTCCCGTCCAACGCAGTGTCGGAGAAGTCTCGGGCAGGGAGACACGGGGCCAGAGGTTGAGCTGATGCGCAGCGTATCGGACCGCAAACGGCCACAGAAAGTGGGGGGCAGCCGCATGAACCAAGGAGGTACGAGCTACCTCCATGACCAAGCCAATGCGGCGCTCAGCAACCCCATTCTGCTGTGGAGAGGCCGGAAGCGTGAACGACTGCTCAATGCCCTCCTGCTGATAGAAGGCCTCCAAGAGGCCAGAGGAAAACTCCCCACCTCTGTCAGAGTGCAGACGCAGGACAGGGAAGTCGGAGCGGAAACGCTCACTGAGCTGGAGACGAGATCTGCGGATCCAGGGGATCAAGACATCAGGGACCTCACCCTTGGTGCGCAAGGGGAAGACCGTGGTGTAGCGCGAGAAGTCGTCAACAACAATCAGGAAGTACCTCTCCTGACCCTGACCACGGACGCGGGCTGGGCCCCACACGTCCATGTGGAGCGTCTGCAAAGGAGCAGTCGTCGGGGGAAAGGAGGAGGAGTGAGGAGCGGCGCGCTGCCGCCCCTCGACACAGGGAAGACAGGGAGGAGCAAGCGAGGGTGGGAGGGGAGGGAGAACCCTGGGAAGACCAGCAACAAGGTCCCGTTTGTGCATGGCCCGAAGGCGCTGCACAGACGGGTGACCAAGGCGGTGGTGCCAGAGGACAGTCTCATGCGCCAGAGAGCGACACGAGCAGGGGGCGGACAGCTGACCTGACGCAGACGCAGACGTAGACGCAGCTACCTGAGGGGACTCAGTGGTCAGTGTGTACAGGTCCGACCCCGGCTGCCGAGTGAAGGTAGCCAGGTGACGGCCCGTCCGAGCACACGTGCAGTGGGTCACGCGCTCGTAAGCAGGGGTGAATTGGTGAACACCCCCGTCCTGGAGCGCACTACCTGCCACCAAGTTCGTAGAGAACGAGGGGAGGTAGAGGCCTGACAGTGTGCCTGACGGGACCGCAGGACAAGGAAGGACAGTGGAGGAGGTCGCAACGACCGGACCCCCAGAGGGGTCAGCGAGGGAGACAGCAACTGGCCGAGCAAGCGGCTCAAGGACAGTGCGGTCACGAAAGAAACAGCGAGAAGCACCTGAGTCCAGTGTGAAGGTGTGCAGTGCTGCAGTCGACTCAGTACCAGAGGGCACGGACTCACTAGCACCTAGAGCAGCAGCCTCACCAGGACCTGGGGCAGCAGACTCACTAGC